AACGGTCCTTGCCTTGCTTGATTTCGGTAACGCTTTCAATACCGTTCACTTTGATATCTTGCTCGGAATATTGCGCTCTCTTAACATATATCTATTAGTAATTGACTGGTTTCATAGCTACCTGTACGGTCGTCAACAGCGTGCTTGTATTGAAAATATTTATTCCTAGTGTGTAGTGCACGACATCTGCGGGCGTGCCTCAGGGCGGCGTGCTATCCCCATTACTTTTCGCAGTGTATATCAACTCCATCACTGATTGCTAACTTTCTTTCTTCTTATCACCTTTATGCAGATGATCTCCAAATTTATACCAAAGCTTCTCCGGCTATACTATCTGAAGCTATGAATGACATTAACAAAGATTAGATACAAATATGTATCTGGAGTAAGGAGTATTGCCTAAGAGTAAATTCATCTAAAACTCATGTAATTATATTAGGTAGTCAAAGGGTGAGCTCCACGGTAAATTGGCAACAACTGCCAGCTATCTATTGTGATGGGACTATTATTCCATATAGCGACAAATTCAAAAGCTTGGGAATCTATATGGACAAGTTCTTGTCCTGGGCTCCCCAGATTGGTGAGGTCAGTCGTAAATTATTTGCTGCAGCGGGATCTCTGCGAAGAATTCGTAACTTTCTTCCTACCGATACAAAAATCGCCCTAGCACAATCTCTTCTTTTTCCCATCCTGGACTATGGTGCTGTTAGCTATCTAGATCTCTCCGAAGACCGATTAAACAAACTTGAGTGTCTGCATCAGATTCATATTCGGCTTACACAAATATGATCATATCTCTGAGTATCGAATTAAGCTCAAATGGTTACCTTCGCCGGAATGTTCATATTCTCTCTATTTTGTACAGTACTCTGTTCTTCAAAAATTCACATTGCAGGTCCTTGAGATCGTCAAAATATCGGAAGTTAAAAATACCCATGCACACCACACAATTTACTGATAAGTCATTCTCAGTGCAAGCAGTTCGACTGTGGAATAACCTACCGGAAGCAATTAGGCAAGCTAAATCACTGTAAATATTAAAAAAACTAGTCACAAACCATTATTTGACATCACAGAGGAATTTGTGTATTTATGGACCTCTGTCTGTGTGTATATGTTGTATGTATTTAAGTGTATTTAGTTGTATGTATACTGTAAACGTATGTATATACCTTATATTATTCTTTTTTTCAATTTGTTGTAATAGTACGAGGGGTGATCAATAAGTAATGATAATCGAGAATTTCTAGAACGCACAAAAACCCAAATTATTTTTTTTCTGCTTGCTTATATATCCACTACTTCAGCTTCAAAAAAATGTATAAATAGGACACCATTACCGGGAGATACATTTATTTGAATACGAACTGTCGAAGAGAAAACATCAAAATGGAGAAAAATGAAATAAGAGCTGTCATCAAGTACCTCTGCCTGAAAAAAATGTCTACCAAAGACATACACAGCGACTTAGAGGAAACATTGGGGGAGTCTGCTCCTCCATATTCCACAGTCGCACGCTGGGCAAAGGAATTTAAGCTGGGCAGAACCTCCACTGAAGATGAATATCGCGAGGGACGCCCTTCCACGTCCCTTACTGGAGAAAACGTCAAAAAAGTGGAAGATATCGTGTTGGCCGATCGAAGGGTGACCGTAACCATGAGGCATGTAGCTGAGGTCACAGGGATCTCCTATGGCAGCGTTCAAAAAATCATTGTCAACAAAATGCATATGAAAAAGGTCTCTGCGCGTTGGGTACCGAGAATGTTAACCGACGAGCAAAAAAAGAAACGAGTCGACATTTCGAGGGTGAATCTTCAAAAGTTCCAGGCCGATAAAGAATTTTTTTGTCGCGTTTTGTGACCATGGACGACACTTGGATCCATCACTTTGATCCCGAAACCAAACAACAATCAATGACTTGGAAACGAGCTTCCTCACCAACGCCGAAGAAATTCAAAGTGTCAAGTTCAGCGGGAAAGGTAATGGCGTCTGTTTTCTGGGATACAGAAGGAATTATTATGGTGGAATATTTGGAAAAGGGGGCCACTATAACAGGCTCTTACTACGCAGGCCAAATAAGAAGATTGCGAGAAGCTATTAAGTCAAAAAGACGCGGTAAACTGCGCGCTGGAGTGCTGTTTCACCAAGACAACGCCCCGGCTCACAAAGCCGCAGTTGCGATGGCTGCCATTGAAGAAACGGGGTTCGAACTGCTCGAACACCCTCCCTATTCGCCAGATCTAGCTCCCAGTGACTTCTACCTCTTTCCTCGGCTCAAAGAACACCTCCGGGGCAACAAATTTGAGGACAATAGTGAAGTGATGGCCGCAGTAGAGGCATTTTGGGAGGGTCAAGACAAAGATTTTTTTTCTAAGGGAATCATGAGCTTAGAAAAAAGATACACTAAATGTATTAACTTGCAAGGAGACTATGTTGAAAAATAAAATACTTTTTTTAATCTAATACGAGGGGTGATCAATAAGTAATGATAATCGAGTATTTCTAGAACCCACAAAAACCCAAATTATTTTTTTTCTGCTTGCTTATATATCCACTACTTCAGCTTCAAAAAAATGTATAAATAGGACACCATTACCGGGAGATACATTCATTTGAATACGAACTGTCGAAGAGAAAACATCAAAATGGAGAAAAATGAAATAAGAGCTGTCATCAAGTACCTCTGCCTGAAAAAAATGTCTACCAAAGACATACACAGCGACTTAGAGGAAACATTGGGGGAGTCTGCTCCTCCATATTCCACAGTCGCACGCGGGGCAAAGGAATTTAAACTTGGCAGAACCTCCACTGAAGATGAACATCGCGAGGGACGCCCTTCCACGTCCCTTACTGGAGAAAACGTCAAAAAAGTGGAAGATATCGTGTTGGCCGATCGAAGGGTGACCGTAAGGCATGTAGCTGAGATCACAGGGATCTCCTAAGGCAGCGTTCAAAAAATCATTGTCAACAAAATGCATATGAAAAAGGTCTCTGCGCGTTGGGTACCGAGAATGTTAACCGACGAGCAAAAAAAGAAACGAGTCGACATTTCGAGGGTGAATCTTCAAAAGTTCCAGGCCGATAAAGAATTTTTTTTGTTGCGTTTTGTGACCATGGACGAGACCTGGATCCACCACTTTGATCCCGAAACCAAACAACAATCAATTACTTGGAAACGAGCTTCCTCACCAACGCCGAAGAAATTCAAAGTGTCAAGTTCAGCGGGAAAGGTTATGGCGTCTGTTTTCTGGGATGCAGAAGGAATTATTATGGTGGAATATTTGGAAAAGGGGGCCACTATAACAGGCTCTTACTACGCAGGCCAAATAAGAAGATTGCAAGAAGCTATTAAGTCAAAAAGACGCGGTAAACTGCGCGCTGGAGTGCTGTTTCACCAAGACAACGCCCCGGCTCACAAAGCCGCAGTTGCGATGGCTGCCATTGAAGAAACGGGGTTCGAACTGCTCGAACACCCTCCCTATTCGCCAGATCTAGCTCCCAGTGACTTCTACCTCTTTCCTCGGCTCAAAGAACACCTCCGGGGCAACAAATTTGAGGACAATAGTGAAGTGATGGCCGCAGTAGAGACATTTTGGGAGGGTCAAGACAAAGAATTTTTTTCTAAGGGAATCATGGGCTTAGAAAAAAGATACACTAAATGTATTAACTTGCAAGGAGACTATGTTGAAAAATAAAATACTTTTTTTAATCTAATAGTTCTGTTTCATATTGATTATCATTACTTATTGATCACCCCTCGTAGTTCTGTTTCATATTGATTATCATTACTTATTGATCACCCCTCGTACATAGCAGGCTAACCTAATTTTTTGACAATATCCCTATAAAGGTTGTCTGTAAGAGATCGCCGTAAGCGATAAGACAGCCTATTGTTATACCGCAATGTATACATATAATATCTGTACAAATAATACTGCAATGGTATACAATAGAGATAAATAAATAAAAATATCCAACACTAACACGAGACTTGATTTAAATAAATGAGTGTATCTAGTTTTTTTGCCTAAAAGTTTTGTCGCTAAAAGTCACACACGAGTGTGTCTTCTACTTATCATTGAAAGCTGTTGGCAATGTAAAGGTCAAAGTGTATCTGGACTCAATAAATGCCAACAAAGACATTCCGAAAACCAAATAAACATTATATCAAACTTTAATAAATCACTAAAGTAATAAACTAATGTAAAACAGACATAAAATAAGCAAAAACGAATTACGTAAAACCTTGAAAATTTTCTGATTTTATGTTGAAAAGATTTTCGGCGTTTTTCCTTAAATAATTAAATTATGTTAATTTATCGGTACTGCATTGCTAATCAGTCATCCCCTATTTCTCCAAATTGTCCCTCTATAAGTTCTCTGTAACAGAAAAATCAAGTAAGATCAGTATTCCACATATATTAGACCACAACATCGAATTCTACCATAATTGTCTCTTTATATTACAAATGCAAATTAAGTTTTAAGTTTTTAACTCGCATCAGAATTATAAAATATAGTTTAAAAAATACGCTTCTTTGAATCAAATGACATTTGATAAAGGCTTGATAACTGTATCTTTGTTGTAAAGGTTAATAAATAGAAAAACAGATTATTTTACATTTTTCTGGTAGGTTATTTTATATGTAGTTGGTGTCGCAAGATAAAGTGGAGTTATTTTCTGTCATAGTTAGTTATCGAATTGACTATTTTGAATATAACAAATTTATTACAATATATGAATCTAGGTGATTGGATTACAATTGACAGGCATTGCCCACAGTTCTACTTGCTTTTATAATCATTGCTCCGCTCCTTGGTCTAAGGCATGCATTAATTTTTTTTCAGAAGCTTGTGCACGTGCATTAAGGTTTTATACCAGATAGATAGTGCAAAAGTAAAATGTCCACAGATCATAGAAATAACATTAAGGTTACCAACCAATTAAATGATTTTGTAAAAAAAAACACAGAATGATAATTAATTCTCCTTGTTAACAGACCAAACTTGACTTCGAGCAGCACTGGAGGAAGCATACTTTGGCAAATACCGATGGCGAAACAGGCGAAACCAAGTTATCCTACAGACCTGTCATTGACGGGACACTCAATGAACAGGAGTGCAAGACTGTGCCACCGGTCATCAGAACGTACTAAACATAGATACACTTAACCATACGTAAGTAACACATTGCCGTTAGTTATAAAGTAAAATAGGGCCAGACATCATTCTGCTGGGAATTGCCCATAGTAAAATTGTATACTCACTTTATACTCGGTCACAAATCAACACAGCTGGATAACAATATTGTGCTTTCACTCCTACATTTATGCTCTCGATATAAATGTAATTTTCTTTACGTCTCTAATGTTCTGTAAGTAGGTTCTTATTACCTCCAAATGGGGCTTGTAAGTGACTAATTAGCGCTCTAGGGGAATAATGTAGCTAGAAAAGTCCTAGGGCGGTAAGTAATTTAAAAAAAAAAACTTCTTTCTTTCAAAAAGTTTGCGTACATCTAACCATCATACTGGCAATAGACATCATGCATTCAGCCCAATGACCAAAGAGGTCGCTTTGCTATTCAGCCTTGTCTTCGTGTGAGTATTTTAGTCATCAATTTTAAATACCTATCGAACGGCGAAGCTCAATTTCGATCTTGAAAAAAATACTTAAAACGTTCTTTACTTGATTCTTTGAGATCCGCAACCATCAACTTCTGCTGAAGAAAGCTTCATCCAACCAACCAACAAATATCACAATCTCAAACTATTAACATACCCAAAAACACCTGTCCTTAAAATTTGAAAATTGTTCTCATTTCACTATAAATTTCAACAAATAAAATGTTTTATTCTTGTAATGCCGTTTTTTTCTCGGGCTGCAGTTGATACCTTACAGCCCTTGGCTACTAATCTACTATTTGTACTGTTACAATAGAAATTTGCATCCATATAAAGAATAAAAATATAATATTTTTTTTACTGAACTGAACTTTACTGAAATCAAAACAATAATTACTATAATACCAATTACTATATTGCAGGTAAATTCATCTCAACATGGGTGCTGACTGAGCTTTCGCACTGGCAGCGTACGTACTCGCTGATTGCTTAGTTGTTATTTTAACACCGCTATTTATATCATTTTATATTTTAGAGTACAACATAAACGTAACAATTTTAAATGTAATCGATACATAAGACATCGTTCTAGAATAATATTAAAATTAGAAACAATATAATAACAGTTTACTGTATAGCACAGTGAACTGTTATTATATTGTTTATAATTTTAATGCAAATGCTTTTAATACAAACGAAAATCACTTGTAAAGTTACTATTTTTTTTTTGTTCTCGTGTTTTAATTGTAGATTTTAATACTCAGCGTAGAAAAATCCTGATTAAGCATTTATGATTTTTCCAAGTTAGGAATCAGTAGCCCCGATGTACTTAATAAATTCATCTAATAGGCGCACTATAACGTGTAAGTGTTGTCTTTTAAATCTATTAGAGGAATTGTTATGTTTAGACTTATGTGATCCTGCTGTTAATTTTGTGAAGCCTTTGCATGTATGTTATTTAGTAAATATCCTCAATTTTCGTCATGTTTTGTTATCTTTACACTTGTCAATCTTAAGTTCGATCAATCTTTTGGTCTTTTGGTTATATCTCGACTTTTTATTCTTACAATGGTTGTCACTTTTAGGTATGTGCATATTTTTATACAGGTGACAAATACTTCTTTTATATATATTTTTCATTTATTTTTTGTTCAGTATTACAAAGAAATTATAATATAAATCATAAATGTACACTACGTAGATAATAAGTATACCGAGATGTAAAAATATTGAATAGAAGTATTGATAAAAAATGTGCGTATTTATTTTGTTCCTTTAAATCCAAAATCTGTGTGTTTAGGCTTTTTGCTTATATAATAAAATATGTAATTAAGTGCAACCAGCCTCCAAAGGTTTATTTTCATACGATTGTAGATTGGTTTGTCATGCCAACCAGCTGACCAAGTATCCTTACTTAACTTAACAATAAGAATATCTTTAGTAGTTTCTAAAGTATAAATGGAAGCCCATTCGCAGAAAGTCACATACATGGCACCTTCTTGGCTAAATAAAAACGAACTTTAGCAAAACAGTTTAAAAGTATTGAAATATAGGTATATTCCAATACTTTCAGGTGTAACTGTCAAAAAACAGATTAAAGATAGGAGACAAAACCAATGGAAATACGATACGACTGCTGTACCAGCTCTACATAAATGTTTATTCTAGGTATCATCACTGCTCGCCAGATAGATATGAAGTCGCATTTAGACCATCACACATTAATACGTAACCATTAGGTAAGTGACGAAGACACTCCGGCACATTATTCTGTTAGGAGTCGAGTCGCTATACACCCCTAATATTAATAAAAAGATCTTGACCACAAACCTTTTAGTTCCAATCTCATGCAAGTGCCAAAACACTTGCTGCAATGTGCGATTGTTTGCCTGCGATCTTGGATTTGGCCTCGAGTCTGTTAAAATGTTATTGCGTTTTCACGGCATTATGTTATATTTAAAAGTATTAGTGAGAAGAGAATATTACATTAATGATGCGTAATGTACCTACTACTGCGGGTTTATCAGTTTTGTTAAGTCCGCCTGTGGCAAGGGTCACGCGAACGCTATCGTCGTTTCGCTGCCTCTCTGTCAGTTACTAGTCTGTCGTCTAGTGCTACGGTTGAGGTCTATTGCTCTCTCCTCCTTCTCAGTGTTCTCCCCGTTTTAAAATCCAGATTGTGATTTCATGGTGCTGCTTGATACGGCCAACCTAACGAAAGCGAGCGGTCTGTGTAAAGGCCCGTTCTATAACGATTCCAAGATTGAAAACCGCAATAACGTTACGCTTCGGAAGATATTTTTCAATCTGTGTAAAGGTATACTACAATGTAATTACATTTGTAACTGTAAACAGCATACTCTAATTTTTTTTAGATCTTAAAATAGTAACATTAAATGTTTTATAAGGGATATGTTTTAAATTATTGCTGTATTAATATTCTATTTCTTTATGAAACGTGAACATATAGAAAACATTTTATCAAATTACAGGTTCTCCAGTAGGTAATTGCATACATGCATACAACATGTGTTACACCTTTAGGTGACGCCTATTGTTTGTCCCTTTTTAAAATGCGTTACATTGTGAACAACATATCTCCACACTTAGAATGTACGTAAGCGTTTACGATTGCCTATATTAAGTACACAAAAACAACACCCCGAGTCGTCTAGTCTGTCATATGTGCGTTCTCTCTCTCTCTGGACCAAGGCACTGCCATCGTATAAAAATCGAAATCTGAGTATAGGGATTAGGTATCGAACTCAGAAGGACACTCAGGAAACGAGCGGAACTGCTCCCATTATTGCCTGCATAGAAGCGTAGTTATTAGAAAATATTGTAACATGTGCCGATTGCATACTAATACGAAGCTTTCTACTTATTATTCGGAACAGTGCCAAAATGAGCGCTGCAACTTGACCCTGCCCTCTTGTATCATAATATAAAGATAGCATCATGCATCATGCGTCGGTCTAATTAGGCCAATGATTACTTAATTTTTAATTAACATTTATATGTTGCCAAAAATATCAGATTCCTAGACAGGGACTACTTAGATGGAGAATGTATAATTATAATATTTGCAATTCTCTGTATCAATGGCAAAATGACAAACATTTAACGGTACTGTCATACAGGTTATACTGTATATTATGATATAGGGGGGGGGGGGGGGGAGGGGCAAACGTGAGGGTCTCTAGGCACGTGCAACTCGAAGAGGGTTTGGGTACCGGTAACGGTAACACTCCCTCGGTAAAAAATAATAACTAACTAACTAACTAATAAATAGCCTAACAACGGTTTTCTCTGACACCGGGGCATTACTCCGGTAGAGCCAGAGCTCATTTGTGCCAAAGGATGGCCCGCCTACGGCTATTTGTATGGATTCCTATAAAATACGAACATATTTTTACTTATTATTATTTCACTTAAAAGTCTAAGTAATGAGTATGAATTATCTCTCAGTGGGTTGAACACGAAACTTTACTTTAACAACATGTAAAACTTTACTTTTCTAGCTTTTTTTAGCGAACGTTAGCAAAAACAGCTTTTCTCTTAAGATAAAAAAGTCTATTCCTAGAGACATCGGTAGTTTTTACTGTTTTATTGATCAAAGAAAATAGACAACTTTTAAATATATTCTGATATTAAAATAAGAACGCATCTAACACTGACATTAGATCTAATACGTGGGATTTAAAAGATGCCTGTTTTTATTAAATATATATAACACAAGACTATTGTTCATTACCAGGATCAGTGTTACTGGACAAATAGATACATTATCGTTATTGTTATTATACTAGTGGCAATTTTACCCTGTTAGGCATAAGTTATCATGTACACCGGTTGATGAACTATGACTACGACCGGCGTAGATCGTTGCTATGTAAAACAATAAAAAAAAATGAATTAATTCACAAACTCAAAACTAAGATAAACCTTCCATTATGTAGGTGTTATAAACATATTATAGTTATACCATACTATATATAACACTTGTCTTTTTCAGGTTGTCAACTTGAGATTATGGCTTCAATCCCGCCGTCTGCATTTTCTGCAAGGCGCATACGCGAAACCCAGCACAATATGAAGTTGTCCAACACAAACAAGGGAAACGAATCGAAAAAGTTCTTTGCTGAAACATGTAAGATAATATTTTAATATATTATTAATAATAAATAACAAGACAAGTGAGTAGACAATATTAATGTTATATTTGATAAAATACAAATACTGAGGTATACAAGTTAGTTTTCGGACAATTACAAATGCGATTTTGTACCGAACAAACAGAGCTTAAATGAAGTTAGTAAAAATATTGTAAAAATAATACTAAATCAGTATGGGAATGTCATTTAACAGTCCTGGAGTTATCGCCTTTGAAGTACAACAGTAAATTAATGAACAGCATTTGGGGCCTATACAACCGCTATTCTCCGCACAATGTGAAGAAAGTCAACGATGCCCTCATTCACACGGCGGAGTTGCAGCAGTAAGTAAACATAATAGCAATGTAAATTATACATCAAAGCCCTATAAAATAAACCTTGTAGATAAACTTGATTGACCTAAAACCGTGTAGATAAAAGAAAAGTTATTTTAGTATCTTCTCTTTTAGAACACCCGACTATTTTTCTCCGTTCTATTCAAATAGAACTCAAAATAGAAAATTACGAAAACTTAAATGATTATCCAACTCATTTCATTAACTCAAAACTGCATCATGTAGAAGTATTGAAACTAATCAAATTAAATGCCAGATGACAGAGGTTTGAATTCAGAACCAAAACGAGTTTGGTTCGGAGCAGAATATTATTAGTTTAGACCTATTTTTGAATTCTTCGTAAGCGTATCCTAACTAAGGGTGCAAGTAGCTGAAGTAATCGCGCTAAAACCTTATACCGGAGTTAATGAATTTACTGGAAGAAGAATTAATACAATTACGAAGGAATGAATGAAATGGATGGATGAAGAAGAAACGCAAACACGTTAAACCGGTTCCTGTCGCGCTTGTGCATGCTGTACCTGCGTAAATAACACCGCGGAATGTGCAGGTTACCTACGCGGGTGGCTCGCGCTGGTACATGCTCAAGTCGCTAGACCCCAAATAACCTGCGCAAGTGCCTCAACATACGCAAACTACGTGCATCGTGTAGAATCACCCTAAGTGTTGTACTGTTACTGTTCTTAAAAAGTTTGATTAGTAGGTATTTATTTCATTACTTGACGCTGAAAAAACCCGAACGCAATTCCTTAATGTATTTGAAGCCAATGTAATTTTAATAAAGGAGAGCCGTAACTTTATACAATCTGTGATAAAGCTTATCACAAAAAATGAAATAACAGATATCACGGTTCAGTATACGTCGGTTAAAATTTAAAAGAAAAACTTTGGTGCGAAAATACAGAAATGTAAATTTAGGACAAACAAAAACAAAACAATAATTGCCGAATTAGAATACCATTGTTAACCTGAGTCGGTGAACTGTACACGGCAGCGTCGCAATGTCGGCGACATCAAAGCGACACCGCCGCCGCGACGAGGCGGCGAACTTTACTTTCTTGTTACTTACCTGCTAATCACTTCACATGCTTTTTAAAATCAATTTATTAAAAATACGATTTTATTCACGTGTTTATTTCGGGAATGCTCGACTAGCTTCGGACTCGGCAGTACGTGTCACTCCTTGAAAAGTAGATACTTTTGGTTGTCTCGTAATCTTACAAAGGTTACAAACAAAAATTCTTACACCGCCTTTACAAAAATTCGGCAGTCTGTAGGACATACACGATTGATTCCATACCTCGGTTTGACCGTAAAGCTACAGGTGTGTTTTGATAGAGTTCCGGGTAAATTAACATGATGTCAGGATATTCCGCAGCTGTGAATGTCACTCGCGGTATTATGGATGTCGACACCGATAACCGAATAAAATTAAAAGACTGATAATGCACTCAGATACACACACACACAATTTTGCGGGACTCGTCACAACAAGAAGTCTTGTCGACACGATAACATTAATTTTTCACACCATTACCGTGTATTATGTTTATGACGAACGCAATAAGACTAAACAATAATTAACACAACAAAACTTTTCTAAACATATCTCACGAACAACAACAATATTCTTATTACGATAATTTGTCGTAAGCGTATCTATAAGGACACAGAGCAGCACAACACTCAGCGATTCGCGGTGGCTAAGGGCCGACTGGCCGACTGACTGTACTTACTGGATGAACTAATTAAAAACGCGTGTCCTTCGTCCTGATGACGCAATAATCAACATATTTCGTTCGATTCGAGTGTAGTAAAAGCGGCAACGTGTGATGTTTCTAAACCACTGAATATTTTTTTTTCATATTTTGCAAATGTCTAGAAATAAAGTGCAGAACATATGGGTTAAAGGTTTTCCAAAAAGAAAAAAAACACAGTGTATGCCTACATACAGCATTAGAATCAAAATGTATGTTACAACTTATACATTAGGTATAATAATATTTTTTCTATTCTCTGGCTCCTACACTTGTAGATACTGTGTTATAATTCATACATTAATGTTTCAGATAAACGTTGACCTTATTGATTTCGTTAGTTATTGAGGTGTAAAAGATATTTTAGCCTAAATGTTATGCAACAGTCGCATAGACATAGAATCATAATAATAATGGTTTCTAATCGATTTTATAAATTCCTTAAAATAATGTTAACCACTAGCCACGAGTGGTTTATGTTAAACCGCATATATCTAGTGAATAATATAAAATTTTAAATTTATAATTTGTACAATCCATTAATATATAATTTAATTACAGATCAGCTGCCAACTCCAATACTAAGACTGAACCCATGATCAGTCTGCCATCAACCAAACTTGACAACGTTTGGGCCACCATCAACATTACACCATCTCATTGATGGATACTTACTACTATAGTTCTACATTTTCATGTATCAATACAATATCCAACACTGTAAAATTTTTGTTAAGTATAGATTAAAGATGTAGTAAAAAAAAAGGCACTGGGATTTTTTCAATTCAGTGAAGCTTAGAATAATAACGCGCCATTATTCTAAGCAGTTAAGGTTATATGGATACTCTTCGCTCTTTTTGCCATTATATTACCATACGCAATACGGTGGCAGAAAGACCACAAAAGTTGGACACCCTGGCACATTATGCGCTCTGAAATCTTGACATAAGTGAATTACCAGAAAAAATATAGGATAATATTGTAATCCTGTACATAGATCCTTTTTTAAACCAAGTTGCTTTTTACAGTCTACTGCTGGACCTTAGAAAGGAGGTTTTAGCCTACTATACGACGATGGCCACATGGGTTTGTTTCAGGTTTTCCTTCTCTTTGTAGTGCTGTTGTCCTGTAGAGTTTGCTCGCTTAGTCGGCTCTTAGGACACACACCCAGGGGATATCTAGGGGTGGCAAATGTTTCGATATAAGATTGCCTTGACGTCATCACCGCCATATGTCAGCCAGTGGACAAACTCAAAATATCGTCACGCATAGGCAGCATCGTCAATATTAAGGGTTTTCTAGCTCTTTAAGATCAGTATGACCAATATCTATGTGGAACAAACATTTTGAACAATTAATGGGCTTGCGACTTGATAATTGGCTTTTATTGATTGATATGTAGTGTTCATGGTAAAACAAAGTAGTACTTTCAGACACTGTGGCACACATCCATGTAATTACCCAACATTTCCATTTCGTTAATATATCTCACAAACGGCCGTGAGATCCCAAACTAGGCTATGGTAACCAGACTGCTGATAAACATACTTATATATTTTTAAATAGATACGTATTATAGATAAATTACACCCAGACACAGAACAAATGACCGTGCTCATCACACAATATTTGTCCTGGGTGGGAGTCGAACCCACGACCATCGGTTTAGCAGTCAGGATCACTAACCACTAGACCAAGAGGCCCGTTCGTTGTGCCATTGAACAAGAAAGAATAAGTCACTGATGTTTGATTGCACAGTCAACAAGAAGAAACAGATACCTTCCGAAGCAATCTGCGATACTAAAGAAGTAGGTACACATATAACACATGCCTACTTCTTTCGTCGGAGTAGGTAAAATGCCTTTAAAATATCAAAGGAGGTAAACACAAAGTTGAAACAGTATTTAAGATGAAGATTATGTATCTTACATGAAGACTGCATACTGCGTGCTGTGACGGATTGTGTATTACACAGACCAAACGATCAGTCGCAAAACTGATCAAGAAACAACGGACCTGTAAAAACCAATGCAGAGTATTTTTTTAAATGGCGGTTTGACAGTTCTCACGGTAAAATATAAAATGTATTAAATATGGTAGTTAAAATAACAATAATTGTACTTTTCTGTTTGAAAAATAGATTTGATTCATCGATCATAAGACGTCATATTTCACAAAATCAATCGTCGTGTATCGTACTTTATCGTGTGCAATTTACTGAGAAAATTTATTAGAAATATTTTGATTTGTGCTTGTGAAAGGTTTCGTGAAATGGAGACAGGCTATGACAATGACAAATATAATGAGACAATGCGAATCTGCCTAAAGTCGATTCATTCAGTCGAGGATCTGGCGGCGCGGTGCGTTTTATTGTCTGGTTGACATTGAAGTTTCGATGGTAAACAGTCTGGCTTCATTCTTATTTTGCCAACAGAATCCATCACCCTTTATTGGATGTGATTTTCCATATCATTAGGCAGCTGTAAAGTGACACAAATGTATTAATTACCTACTTACTTTTATTTTGGTCATGTTTTATGAACAACATGTTACGTTAGGTTTAATTGATTTTTAATAAATCAGAGGCTAAGTTAATTTATTCTAAATACTTACATCAAAATGGTCCTCACAAAAGAATATTGCAGATTTATCTGATGTAAACTCTGTGGCTAGACGTGCTAACGGTAACCACCGCTTTCGACGTTTAGGGCATTTAGGAACATGTATAATGTGTGGTGACGGATTAAGAATACAAATTGTCACCACCCCAATTCATCCCGTGGGTGTCGTAAGAGCCGACTAAGGGAGCAAACTACGCAGGACAACAGCACTGAAAAGAGAAGGAAAACTTGAAACAAACCCTATACCAACCCGTCTGGCCAGCGTGGTATAGTAGGCCAAAACCTCCTTTCTAAGGAGAGGCCTATGTCCAGCAGTGGACTAGTATAGGCTGTTGATGATGATGATGATAAACAATTTGTCAGGAAATTATTGTGGTACTTCTACACATAGGCACGGTACACTTCTTGTAGCTTGTCATTTTCACAATTCCATTGAAAAAGATGTAGGTTTTCCACTAAGAGTTAGTGTCGCAAATAGACTGGTTCCATTTATTAAAACATGACATCACAGCCAACAAATGTCAGTTGACATGCTGTTTTAATTAATTAACACTTGAGATTTTTTTATTGAAAGAGCTATAAAATAAACCTACGTATACAATATATTTTCAAAATTTGTCAAATAGGAAATTGTTTTCTAGTTAATTTTTGGTATCGCTGCAGTAACTGCTTAAAGAAGTATTCGTTATGTTATCAATTTTTTTATAAAATTGTATAAGTACACAAATATTTATAACATTTTAAAATTAGTTTCCGTCAATTAGTAAAACATATTAGAAGTATTTTTTGCTAAATTATAGAAACCTTCTAGGTTATATTTATAGAAGGTTCTTCTATTTATAAGCAGAATAAAGACGTATTACTGTACTATTGTTCCTTCTATAACTGCAGGTATAACTCGATAATCTACGCACATTGAAAATTCATTCATTCATTTCATTGTCCCGCGTCGAAAATATTTTAAACACTATTCGAGAGAACCATACTTCGGCAGAAATTTATATACAAACTAGCCGCCCGCCCTGGATTCGCACGGGCGCAATATTTGTTTGTGTAATTTTTAAACTGTTCAACACATTTTAGTAAAGACTGGTATTGCTGCGCCCTTCACCCCCCGCCTAGCTATTATATAATTATACCACTCGCTCGTACTCACGCACGGCCAGCGGCAGTGACAAATCGATAACTCCATCAATTGGTGCAGTAGGTACCGTAGGCATGCGACTGCTGTGCTGAGGTCTCGGGTTCGATTCCCGGGTTGGACCAAATGTTTGTATGATCTGCAAATACTTGTTTCGGAGTTTGGGTGTTTTCGATGTATAATTTGTGTATATTTATAAAAAAAGGATATAAGTATTCTATCAGTCAATATAGCTTTCAATGCTTATACAATCGCTTAGTTAAGCCTGCTTAGTTTAAAACTAAATGGCGTTGTGCGCGTTACATGTCCAAAATATGTATTTAATTAAGATGCTGTAACAAGTATTAAGATACCGTTTGTCGTATCGCCTCGGTTCGAGAGCACCTCCCTAAGTACCTCAGTCAGTATTGCAATCCTAGGCATCGAGATATCGAGCAAAGTCCAGTTTCGCGGTCATTTAGAGGGTAAGGATAAATTGGCCTAGAAGAAGCTCGGTGTGCTGAACAGATCGAGGCAGTATTTCACTCCAGCCCTTCGCCTCCGACTCTATAAGGCGCAAGTCGGACCGCATATGGAATACTGTTCTTATCTCTATGCAGGGGCACCACAGTACCAACTTACCGTATCCAAAGAAGAGCGACTCGAATCGTCGATAGCCAAAAGATTTGCGACCGGCTCGATCCCTTGGCGTTACGTAGAGATGTAGCTTCGTTCTGCATTCTCTATCGTATATATCATGGAGAGTGCTCCGAGGAATTGTTCGGACTAATACCGGCCGCAACCTTCCGCCTTCGTTCCACAAGGCAAAATTTTCATCCTCACCACTTGGATAATTGGCGCTCCACCACTCTTCGCTCTTCAAGACACTTTTAGCCTCGCACTAACAATCTGTGTAATAAGTTAACGACTGCGGTATTTCCGGCCCGATACGACCTTCAAACCTACAAGAAAGGGCGTACCTACTCCTTCCCCAGAGGCTGGCAACGCGCTTGTGACTTCTGAGTTGCAGGCGTTCATGGGCGGCGGTAGTCGCTTTCCATCAGGAGACCCGTCTGCTCGTTTGCCCCCTATAAAAAAATCCATAAAAAACAAGTAAAAATTTAAGGAAATGAAAAACCCGACTGCAAAGGCAATTTCAAAGTAATGCTTAGTAAAACTATATAAAACAAATTTATTATTCCTTCTTAATTTTAAATATATGTATAACTTATTTTTCTTGCATATAGTTAGATTTGTTTTTTTTTATTAATTATAACTATGTTACCAAAAATCCGCCTTTTCGTTTTTTCTTTCAAAAAGCCATAGGAGACTTGGTTTTTGAGACGGGTAAAACAATACCTTAACTGTGGAAATCCATACCGCCATTTAGAAGATACTACTCTGTCAAGAAAGTACCGGGAAATCAATCAATCATACACAAAATGATCAATAATACACAAAATGTTTGTTATTCATACAAATTTATTTTATCACCTTCAAAGTATGCTCCTTCAGAAACGATACACTTACGCCAACGAATATTTAATCAAAACATTTTTTAAACGCTGTTTCCGGAATTGAGTTCAGTTCTCGCCGCGAATTCTCCTTTATGTGTTCTACCGATTGAAAACGGGGGGACAATTTGAGTTTAGGAAAAGAAAGAAGTCGGCTGAAGCCATATCTGGTGAATTTAGTGGTTGCTCAATGGTATTTGTTGATTGTTCGGTCAAAAATTCGTTCACAATGATGGCCTTGGGCGCATTATGGTGGTGCAAAATCCAAGAATTTTTTTCCACAAATCTGGCCTTTTTCGTCGAATTTGCTCTCTGAAATGCCGCATAACGCTCAAATAATATTCTTTATTTACCGTTTGACCCCTTTGGGCTCTTGTTTCAGTTTTGGCCGAAACCGTAACCGAAACCC